CCCCCCCTGATTCACGTGCCAGGTCTGACCAGGCACGTGCAGACCGGGGGGGGGCGGAGGGTGCTTGAGCACCCGCCCCTTTAAATGTCTCTGCACGGCCCTGCTGAGCACTCTAGGCATACGGACTACGGTGTAGTATAGGTAGCAGCATTCGTTATTGTATGCGTAGCCAACCCAAGTGGTAACGAGTATTGGGTAACGAGTGTTAAGTAACGAATTCTGGGTTGCCGAGTACTCGGTAGTAACAATTACACGAAAGTAACGGATAAACACATCACTATAAATGGCGTGTATTGTATTAAGCTGACGTCATTGTCCAACGTACACATTAATGAAAACGAGGCGGCAGCCAAGGCCCAATTACCCTTTTACCTAAATCACAAAAAGACAACTTACTGGAAAATTGGTGGCCAATCACGTTATTGAATAATGATTATAAAATCATTGCTCTTTGTTCAGCGACAAAATTAATATCTCGTTAAATTATGTACTTGATGAGACGCACTTGAGGCTTATGTTTGGCAGGCGTATTATGTACAACGGTAGGTTAGTTTTAGATATTTTGGACTGTGCTGCTCTGGTGAGGGATAATATATTTGTTCTCTTTATAGATATTCACAAGGCATTCGATTGTATTGAACAACATTTTATGTATATATCTGTGAAATTTTTTGGATATCGTGATAAAGCAAAGTTATGTTGTCAATCTGCTTATTATTTTTTCAGAATTCCATAAACACACCTGTAAATTTACTAGGCAAAAAACAAACCTTGCAGCTTTTAAGGCCTACTTTGTGTCATATTTGAATGCAGCAACCACATTTTGGCTCATGCCTGCTTGTTTACAAAGGAGTTTATCAACCCAGCTTGCGATGAAATGGTATCCGATGTGACCTGACCACATTTGGACATATAAAGGACTTGTCGCAAGATAAAAGGCAGTCTTGGCAGGAGTATTCTGAGAGACTTTAATGTTTTTTTTATGGCATTGATATTGAGAACAATGATGAAAAGGAGCAGCTTTATTAAGGTTTGGACTGACATCTTCAGTACATCGGTTTCACTAGAGTACCTTCATACCTTAAATCTGCAGGATTGGCACTCTAGCCACCGTAAAATAAATTACACAGATGTATTCCATTTGAACTAGTGTAGTGCTGAGGTATCACCAGCCCTACAGCTGCATTCAGGTTCTAATGCAAGAGGTGGATGCGGCAACACGCTGTATCAGTGTGCGCTCCTTCTCTTCTCTCTCTCTCTCTCTCTCTCTCTCAATGCTATTACTTATTAACCACAAACTAAGTGTTAGTTAAGAACTGATATCACGTTTGTTCATCATTACTGAATCTTTTAACTATATTCATGATTTGTTCATGATTAGTAGTTCAGTAGTAATTGAGTTACTACTAAGTTGGTGTCCCCTCGAGTAAAGTATTACTGCTTAAGCTATATGATCCAAATCTAAAACTTACCCTACTGCCTCACCAGTCTCTCCAGTAACTACTACTTCCTTGAGTCTGTCTCCATCAGAGTACTTCCCTGAGATTGATGGACTTTGTTTAGGAAACGCCTGTCTTCCATGTACTTGTCAGTCCAACTCAGGAACCCTCTTGGTTCTCCCATCTAAACTGCCTCACTTATCAGATTCTGCTCAAAATGCTCTTGTACAACTTTATTGAAAAAAATCTGTTACTTTTTTCTGATAGTTCCTCTAGGACAACAGTCCTTAAGTATGTCATTGATAATGTCCCGGTGAAGCAGAATGGCTGTTGAGTTAATCTGACCAAATGTGCCATCAAGAAAAAGGAAACAGAATGTTCCACATGGTCTCGCTGCCCCTAGTTCTAGTCCTTGGAGTTCCCCATGTTTACTGGTACCCAAGCCGATGATACAGTTTGCTTCTGTACTGGCTACAGAAAAGTTTATGCTTGACCAGGGCTGAGTCCTTTCTCCAAACCAGGATGGAAGATTGTGTGGATCAGATAGGAATTTGTTACTAAGTTAGACTTGCTGAAAGGCTACCGGCAAGTCCCACTCACTGAACATGCGTCAGAAATCTCAGGTTTTGTGTACTTAGATTCCTTCCTACAGCACAGTTATGGCCTTTGGCAAAACGCACCTGCTACATTCGAGCATTTAATGAGTTGAGTTTTAGCCAATGTTGATAATTGGATGATGTTATCATTTATGCAGATAATTTAGAAAGTCACCTCTGTACCTTAGATACTATTTTTCACATTTCAAAGAAGATTCTCTTACCCTAAATATGGGTTTGGTCAAGCTACTCTGACGTACTTAGGAAAACGGGTTGGTCAGGGAATTAATTCACTCTTTGGAAGCCAAAATTTCCTGTATCTAAAACAAAAAGAGAGCTGCATCACTTTCTTGGGATGAATGGATATTACAGAAGCTTCTGTAAGAATTTTTCAAACATTGTATCACCTCTCACAGATCATCTCCATAACTCTGTGCCTTTTGTGTAGACTTCTGATTGTCAAACTGCTTTTGATGTAATGAAGATTTTGTTGTATAGTTTTCCAGTTCTGTCTGCACCTGACTTCACTAAGTCAATTCAAGCTGGATGTGGATGCTAGTGGAACGGGTGCAGGTGCTGTATTAATATACCCTGTCTGTTTCTTCTGCAAGAAGTTCAACCACCATCAGATAAACTGCAGCACCATCAAAAACAAGCCCTTGCGCTGTTACTGGCCTTTCAACACTTCAAAGTGTATATTGGATCCAGGTCAGAACCTGTCCTAGTGTATACAGACCACAACTCACGTGATTTTTTTTTGCATCATCATATGTCCAAACTTGCACATACATGAATGGGTGATGCGAGGTTGAGCAATCAGTATCATTATTATTATTACTTTTTAGCGTATGTTATCGATATAGGAAATGAAATATACATGTATATGTGTAGGACATGCTACATATATATAATACCTATTTCTATTAGTATTATTATTATTGTTGATATTGTTGTTGTTATAATGTTTGTTGTTTGATGTCCTTTTAATGAGTGTTATGTGTGTTATGTTTGTTTGTTCTCTGCATTCCCCTACACTTTGTTTTCTCCCTCCCACATTTATTATTATTCCTATTATTATTTCTGTATACCTTTGTTTTTTTCCACCCTCTCTCCCCATGGTGATTGATGTCTGTTATTGTTACGATTGTCGTTTCTGTGTCCCCCTCCACCCCCCCTTTGTTTTTTTTAATCACAGTACTAGGACGGGTGAGTTCGGAGCGGCCACAATCTTTACACTGTACCTTTAATTTCATGTAAAATAAAGTTGTCCTCCGAAGAGGGGTGGTGGTGGGCAAAAAAAAAAACAAAAAAACATTTCAGTAATTTTCTCACACATTTGCTGACAAACTGGAGATCCTCTGTCCATCTTTGCTCCTCAAAGCCTCAGCCTTTCGCGGATACTGCTTTTGTACCAAATCATGATTACAATCACCTGTTGACATCACCTGTTTGAAATCACATCAATACAAAAAAATTGCACACACACACATGCAAGCAGTAAACCCACATACACACATGTATAGCTGTATGACTTTATTTATGATGCTAAATATTTCCCAAATGATTTCTCTGGAATAACCCCGAACACAGTTTCTCTTTATGGTAATACACACCTTTCAGTTAATCAGCAAGCTTCAGGATTATTGCAATGTATGACATCTAATGAATTTACTCCAAACATAACAATTTACAACTGCATGAATACAATTATTTCTACTTAAGTGTAATTAATATATTCCACTTGGCATTCTGAAAATTAAGTTACGAAAAAAAGCGATAATTAAAAAGCAACTACTTAATGTAAAATGTAAAATCAGTGAATACAGTGAGTCACTAGTGTGAACTAGGTTAGCTTTGGTCAAACATAAGCGCATTTGTAAAATCATAGACACATTAAAAATGCTCCCTGGTGCTTGGGTAACAATAGAAGCGATCAGATTAAAAAAAGAAAAGGGCGGCAGAAATGCTTTTGGGGCATTTAAGGCGGCACCTACTGCTGCTGGTTCATTAATCAAAAAACAAAGCAAATTCTTGACTGTGATTGAGCACAATTTAGGCTACTTAAGGTGGTAATAGTGGCAAAAAGGGTAGCAGAGTTAATAATAGTAGGACTGCAGTAATGATGCTCAGGTGCATTGGGGTTCTGTGTATCTCAGAGATGAATGAGTCCCCTGCATTATAGTATTAAACACTCTCCCTTTGTCTCCTTAATTTTTTTTTTCAGTTCATCTGATACCTCATATAAATCAGATGAACCTTTGACTGCGTTTATGGTAGCCATTCCACCTTTTACTGCCCCCAAAATGGTATTCAAGATGATCTGCTTAACATCAGACAAAGAAGCATTCTTAAAGCCATTTTTGAAGCCCACCAGTGTTGAAAGCAGCACTAAGGCTGGTACGCGTATTAGGACAGGGGTCACTTTTTTAATCATTTTCTTAATGGCTTTTGCCTTTGGCTCTGTCTCCCCTGGGTCCATTTTCTTTATGATACCCTGTAGTATATCTTCAATTCCTTCCTGGATCGAAGTTGTGTAGTAACCCCCGTCATGGCTGTTTATGATATCACCGATGCTTTTTATTAGATTTTTCAAGTTTGTGCTGTTCCTCCCATTTTCATTCCAGCTCTTGCTGTCAATGACATGGACTCCGCCTCCACAATCTTCAACGCATTTCTTAAGGTCATCGTTGGTTTTTGCGAAATCTTCAATGGATTGGCCTTCGTCAAGACACTGGCCGTGGTTGTACAGGAGAGCTGTGTACTTCAGGGTTTCCTCACCAAAGCACATATTTATCATACTCACAAGCGCTTTCTCCTCATCAGTATACTTGCCTACTTTCATCACTAAGATGAAGGCATGCACACCAGGAGCACAATCAAAAATACAGGAAATTAAGGCTTTCTTTAGATCTTCAGCATTATTGTCAGGATCAAAGATGCCTGGTGCCTCAATCATTTTCACTTTTCTCCTATTAATCTTTCCTTGTTCAAGGTTTTCTTCAAGAAGGTCTTTCACAGTTCTATTGTTAGACTTAGCTTTCCCAAAAATGACAATCCTCAGCTCGCTAGAATCTTCAGAAGGACGACACATGATTAGTGTGGCAATTATACAAACTTACCAGAATAATTTCAGAAAAAGCATCTCAGTGAATGTCAGATACTCATAGTGAGTGACCTACCTGCCATGTTTCTGCTCTTTGATGTATGAGGTCACAGAAAGATCCTTCTTGCTGGATGTATTTTTATGTGAAGTATCTGTATCTGCATGTGAAAATCATGGATTAATGTGTTCGTGAATGTTGTAATGAAAACAGGCAAGTAAATTATAGACCAGGTTTAAACATCATATCAGTTAACTTAAGATCTTAGAGTTTCAGGACGTGTCCAGGTTTACAGGTCTAGTAACTCAAAAGTCATGTGGGCTGGCAGTTAAATTTGATAATACAGGAATAAATGATCAACCAAACTATTCCTTTAATAACCCAATAAGTCTGCTTCCCTGGACAGTATCAAAGGGCATTTCGCTCAACAGGGAAAAGAAACTATGCAGCTGCAGTAAATGCCCAAATGCCATGTTTCATAGCAGTTATTATATATGCTCATCAAGGAAGCTTTAAAAGAGTAAAATCTCCAGAAAAAAATCATACATGCAAATATATAACTCACCAAGACAGCTGAATGTTTTCTTGATAATAGTGAAGGATTGTAATTCTTTAGGAAAATGACTTGGATATTATGGCTACAGTAGTAGGATGATCCTCAGTATGATGTGCTGGATAATGTCCCCTAGACACACTTCATTGTACCTTATATACTCTTCCAGTTCATCCAATAAGGCCAATAGGAAAACACCTTCCCGGCCCCCAAAAGTTAATTCACCATACAGAAGGCCCGTGTGATATTCTGGTTTCTAGAAAAACACACCCATTAGGAAGGTTTCTGGCCATGTCTCCAGATCATGACCTCAGTGGTGTTTGAGTATTTCTGCCATTTTTTGATGAACAGCACCATTTCTAACACTTAAACTCATAAGTACCTACAAACTAGGGGTGGAGCCGAACCCGAATACGGTATTCGGAAAGGCACAAATAA